TGTTGATATTTGAGTGATTCATTACAATCAGAAATCAGGAATACATAGAATAGAAATGTAATTGATAGAAAAAAATAATTCATGGCTTCCCGTATAACATAACATGTGCTAAGATAACATAAATACTTCATGCAATAATATTATAGTGTAACATTACATCATCAATAATACTTCATATTGCTAACACTCCCACTTAATGTGCACTATAAATGTTCTTTAAGAATTACGAATTCTTAAACTAAAATTTCTTTGACACCTAACATGTCTCGAAAGTTTTGGAATGTTTGCTTTGGTAAACTTTTCGTCATAACATCCGCTAACATCTGATCTGTACTACAGTATTGAACAATAATGGAATTATCGTTGACCTTTTCTCTAACAAAATGATACGCAACGTCAATATGTTTAGTGCGATTGTGAAATCGTGGATTCCTCGAAAGTTCAATTGCCCTTGGTTATCTTCGTTCAGTATAGATGGTTGATCTTGATTTATTCCAATATCCGCTAGTAAACGTCGTAACCATATGATTTCCTGTGTTGCATAACTTAGTGCAACATACTCAGCTTCAGTCGAAGATCTTGCAACACAAGATTGTCGCTTGCTGCTCCAGCTGACGGTTGATTTGTTTATCTGGAACACGTATCCTGATGTAGATCTTCTTGTATTTACATCACTTGCCCAATCAGCATCTGAATATCCAACCACTTCGCATGTTGAATCTTTGCTTTGAAAAACAAGACCATAATTGATTGTGCCTTTTAGGTATCTCAACACTCTTTTGCTCCTGCCAATGCTCCTTTCCTGGCTTTGACATAAATTTTGAAAGAATACCTACAGCAGATGCCAAGTCAGGTCGAGTTGCCGTTGTCACGTATGTCAAACATCCGATAAGTTTTTGATATTCATGAATATTTGTTGCGGTCTCTTCTTCGGGCAGATTCTGAAAATGTTTTCCAGGTTCTAACGGTGTTGAAACAGGTTTGCAATGTTCCATGTTGAATCGTTTCAAGATTCCTTCCAAATATTTTGATTGACTAATTGTCAATTTTCTCCTTTTTCTGTCTCGTTTGATCAGCATACCAAGGACATGTTTGACTTCATTTAAATCTTCAACTTTGAACTTTGATGCAATGGCTTTCTTCTCCACCTTCAGCATTTTCGTAGAATTGGAAAATAGGAGAATATCATCAACATGAATAGATAGTATCACGAAATTCACATTTCCATCTTGCTGTTTAATGGATTTCACGTACAGACATGGATCACAGCTCATTTGATTGTATCCTTTTGATTTCAGGTGTGAGTCGATGGCATTGTTCCAACATCTGGCTGACTGTTTTAAACCATAGATGCTTTTTCTTAATTTGCAGACATAGTCAGGATGCTTCTTACTAATATAACCTTCAGGTTGTCGCATATAAATTTCTTCATCCAAATTTCCTTGTAAAAACGCTGTTTTAACGTCCATTTGGTGAACTTCCCAGTCTTTTGCATTCGCTAAAGCTAACAACGATCGAACAGTTGTATTTCGTATGACAGGTGAAAATACTTCATGATAGTCGACACCTTCAGCTTGTGAATAGCCTTGTGCAACTACGCGAGCTTTATATCTCTGTATTTCTCCATTTTCGTCTCTCTTCACCTTGAAAACCCATCGGCTTCCAACAATATTCCTATTATCTGGTAATGGGACAAGTTCCCAAGTATCGTTTTCGATAAGTGAATGAAATTCGGAGTCGGTTGCTTTTCTCCAGTCATGTCCATGTTCTCCAGAATAGGCTTCGTTGATGTTTGCTGGTTCGTTGATTTCCGCAGTTAAATCATTGGCGATGTAGCATTCTTCATCAAACCTTTGGGGAGGTCTTCTTTGTCTCCTTTCACCAATGTTTTGTACTTCATTCATAAATCTCTCCTCGTACGTTACTCCCACTGGCTCGTTATCGTTGATTTCTGCATCCATGTTGACGTTTTCGATAATTGGATTCAAATCAAAATCTTTACCTGCTTGCGTTGGGGTTTCTTCGATAATCACCGGAACATTTTGCTCTTTCTTTTGATCAAATGCAGTCAATGGTCTTTTGTCTTCACCAAAGTCATGGAATTGTGTTTCCACAAACATTGCATCACGGCTACGGATGAATTTCAATCCAATAGGGTCATAAAACTTGTACCCTTTGTTCCGTCAGGGTATCCCACAAAAGTAATTTCCGGGATTTTGGGTCTAACTTCTTACGCTGGTTCTCTGGAATATGTACATAGCTCACACAACCAAATACTCGTAGATTAGCTACATCCGGTTTTCTTCCATATAGACATTCGTATGGAGTCATATCCTTTACTGATGTTGTAGGACTTCGATTACGTAAATAGACGGACGTATTTACAGCCTCAGCCCAAAATTCATTTGGCAAATGTGAATGAGACAGCATAGAACGAGCAGATTCAACAATGGTACGGTTCATTCTTTCTGCAATGCCGTTTTGCGCCGGATTATGAGGTACACTTAACTGATGGATGATACCATTTTTCTTCAGGAAATCTTTAAATTCCTGTGAGCAATATTCCCCACCGTTATCAGATCGTAGGGTCTTGATAGGTTTGCCAGTAATGTTGCGAACATGACTATGAAATTCCTTGAATTTCTCTAAAACTTCGCTTTTCTTCTTTATGAAGTAGATGTACGTATACCTTGAATAGTCGTCGATGAATGTGATGTAGTAGCGCGATCCACCAAAAGAGTTTACAGACATGGGACCACACACATCACTGTGTACAAGCTCAAACGGTTGGTTGGCACGGTAATGGTCATCTTTCGGATAAGAACACCGATGTTGTTTCCCCATCATACATCCCTCGCAGAATGAGATATTTTCATTTACATCACTCATTCCTTTAACCAAATCTCCATTTAACAATTTACGAACATTGTTCATTCCCAAGTGCCCAAATCTGCAGTGCCATAAATGCAAGCTTGAATTTGATGCGTCCTTTGCAATGTTCACATGTTCATGTCCAATCCTTAATTTGTACAATTTTCCATGTATGTCCCCAACAGCTAGAAGTTTGGAATTACGAGATATCTTACACTTGTTACCTTCAAACATAACAGTAGCTCCAAGTTTTATCATGGTATAGACTGATAGTAGATTCTTGTCCAATTCTGGTAAGTACAATACGTTGCGTAATGATATGTTCTGAACGTGATCATCAAGTATTGCTTTCAAATGATAGGTACCTTTTCCATATGCCAAGATTGATCTATTATCACCTAGATTCACCACCGAGAGTTGCTTGAATGTCACATAATCCGTCAGTGCTTCTCTTTCATATGACATATGCTGGGTAGCACCAGAATCTATGATCCAATCTGATCTTCCAATAAGTTCAGATCCATTGCTTATCAA